GCAGGTTTTTTCCGGCTGTGTATTTTCAAATTCTAGCGCACTCGAGCTGGTTTCTCCAAAATTACCTACCCCACCTTTTAAAAGGCACAAATACAAATATAAAACCTGAAATGAGCGAAACATTTCCTCTTTAAAGTAAATACAGAATCAGTGAACTTTGACCTTATTGTCTCCCTCACATTCAGTAACCTCATCTGACTCCAGCAGCAGATGCTCCAACTGTTACTACCTGTAGATTAATACGGAGGAGAAGGACCACCCACTGTCAGACCAGGCTTATCTACTATTCTGCCAGAGCTTCTCAAGCACTCTGCTATCAGGTAACATTACAGGTGTGTGTGTGTGTGTGTGTGTGTGTGTGNTTTTTTCAATAAATGGATGTTTTCAAAGTAAATGGATAATCGTGATATCAATTATTTACCCAAATAATCGAGATTAGCTGCTCGATTATGGCAAAAATCATAATCTCGATTATTTGGGTAAATAATTGATATCACGATTATCCATTTACTTTGAAAACATCCATTTATTGAAAAAAAAAATGTTAAAGGTGTGATAGGTCATTTTGGAGAAACCAGCTCGAGTACACAGCCGGAAAATATCTGCCACTTCCTTACAGAGCCCCTCCTCCAACACACACGAACGCTCACATGAACAATGAGGGCACGAGATAATTTTGTGCCCAGATGGAAGGCTGACAGGCAGGTAGGCTATCTAGTTATTTTAGCCGGGCCGGCTAAAATGATTGGTCGTGCTTTTTACAGTACTACGGCTTCCACAGATGACATTTTTTTAATGAATTTTTAACGGCTTCCACATTGACATTTATGGATTTATTGTCAAAGCACTTAAGATATTCATTGCTATCGGGATGTTAAGAGCATTCCATGGAATATAACAAAAAGTGTATTTCGAGACGGTTTCTCAAACGTACCTACCCCACCTTTAACAGTATGTTTTGAACATTTGATTACCCTGAACTTTAAGTATAATTCAACTGAAAAAATAAATAAATGTAAAAAAATAAAATCGTATTATGTTGTTTTCATAATCGTTGCAAGCTAAAATCGTAATTGCGATTTAAAATACGATTTAATTGAGCAGCCCTAGCCTGAATGATACTTTTAAGAAAATATTCTGAAATCAAGGTGTACTAACTGGGGAGATATGGATGAATGTTCCTTAAAGTCGAACATGAGTTAAGATGGATCACATTGAAGTGCTGTACACGGCAGCCTTCATGAAATGTGCTGTTTATCAAAAATTACAGAAGAAAATGGAGCTGTTTATTCACTGGAATGACAAAAACAGTAACCTAAGCAGAGTGACTCTGATTATCTTCTGTATGTGCTGATTTTCTGTGTATGTGCTGATTTTCTGTGTATGTGCTGATTTTGTGTGTATGTGTGTGTGCGCAGATAGAGCAGGTGAGCCAGCTCTCCTCCCTGGTGGAGTCCCAGCTGCAGTACCACAGGCAGGCGGTGCAGGTGCTGGAGGAGCTTTCTGACAAACTCAGAGACAGGTGCAGTAAAGACACAAAGACCAACACAATATGAAATACATCCGAGTGTGCAGCCTTCGAGCTTTTCAAGTCACGGTATCTGGGAACATAGTTTTGTATTTGTTTTGAAATGTAAAATCAACGTATCTTCTTGATTAGGATGAGTGATGCTCAGTCTCGCCCAAGACGTGAATACACACCTAAACCCAAACCTATCTATGATTTCGGAGAAGACAACCATTCAAATGGCGGATTCTCCACTTCAATGGCCCCCCCACCTTCCCGCAATTCAGGTAAGAAACTGCAGATGGACTCTTTTTTTGTGAGGCCCAAAACAAAGATAATGTTTTTACTATGAAAACTTTGAGAGCAGATCATGACAAAACAAAGATCAAAAATAAGCTCTCTTTCTTGGCAATGATTTTATCCTTGAAATGAGTCAAAGCCACACAAAAAGGCAGAACAACAACACGTGTAGAAAAAGTGCTGATTACCAGAGTTCCAACGGCAATAAAACCTCCAGCTGTTTCTACACAAACTCAGCAAAAGTAGCGTGCCTGCGACGAACACTCTCCTAAGAATTCTAACAGAAGCTTCACTGGAAAAAACTCAGCATTGCTCGAGACCTGCAACCAATCAGCGCCACTGAGCACAAATATGTTAATCACATTTCTCCTGTTGTGTTGTCGAGTCAAGGCTGAATTCTTGACTCTCAAATGCATTTTTCATGAGAAACTTGACGTCTGTTGGGGGTGAGTGTGTGAGTGTGTGTCCTGCCTTGTCATTTGGCCTTTCTCCAACTGACCTTGTTCCTCTTTCCTGTGATATCATCAGAGCCTTCTTTTCACTCGGCCGCATTGTCCTTTCGGAAACTCAGACAGTGTGAGTCACAAAGTGTGGGACGACCGTTTTTTGTTTCACAATTCTGGTGAAACGGTCTAGTGTGTTTGTTCAGCTTCTGGTGTGAAATGTAGGAAGTAGGATACAAGTTGCTTCTCACAGGTTCAACACATAATTGGTGGTTTGTGGTGCACGTTTACTTTAACTGCATGAAAGAGGTTTTGTATGCTATTCACATCCTGTTCTTCAGATACTGCAGCCTGACTTACTAAAAGCATTCACACATTCTTAACCACTGACTCCGTCCAAAATTACTTTAAACATGCAGCCCTTTAACAAATCCTAGTTCATTCAAACAATTCCAAACGACCCTTTTCTTCCCCTAATTTCTGGCTATGAGATCAGTATCAAGATAAACTGTTGTGTTTATATTCAGAGCAAACACATTCCCCCTCACAAGCACTCATGTAAATGGGGGGTCATATTTGTTTCTAGCTAATAAGCAGCTAGTCTGTTTATCAGACTGCTTGTCAGACTTCTTAAATAGACAACTCTGCAGTTATTGGGCTTCTTATATGACCTACTTTTCGAGAAATGTTTGGAATTATCTCAAGTTGCTTCGGAGTTGGTTCTCTTCACTCGTATTTACATTTGTTTTTCCTGTCCCTGTAAACTGATACAGTATGGGGTAAACACAGAGAAAGAGCTTTCCCCGCCTCTAGCCGGCACTGCAGTCTGGGGTGAACTGGATACAATGAGAAAATTGTTTGGAGACAAAAAAAGCTGTGTGTGACTCTTCTGGTGAGGTCACAGTGAAAGGGATGGATTGAGGAAACGACAGGCAGTAAAATACAGAAACGTGGAGGCTGCGGCTCAGTGGTTATTGTGCTGGACTACGAATCAGGGGATAGCAAGTTCGAGTCCCACTGCAGTCAGCATGTCGTTGTGTCCCTGAGACACTTCATCCCAAATGGCTCCTGTGGGGATTGTCCACAGTACTGAATGTATGTAAGCCGCTTTGGCGTCTAACAAGTGACATGTAATGTGGAGTCAGAGGAAGTTTTGGTTTTAACTTTGTGCATTGCTTTGAAGTTGAAGTTGTTTTTGAATGCACGAAAACCTATATAACACACCCAGTAAGCATAACATGGCCCCTTTAACGTGAGCAATGTGACAACCTTTTCCCTGAAAACGTCTCTGCTGCGGCTTAGAGCTGGGCAATATTAGGAAAATCAAATATTATATATTCGACTAAATAATTTGATATTCTGTATTTTTATTTTAGGAGTTTTTCTCATTTGACCCTCATTTTGTAATTTCTCCACCCTGGTTTCCTCAGCCCCCGAGCAGCCGAGCTGTAAGGCGCTGTACGACTTTGATCCAGAGAACGAGGGAGAGCTGGGGTTCCGAGAGGGCGATATCATCACCCTGACCAATCAGATCGACGAGAACTGGTACGAGGGCATGCTGAACAACCAGTCGGGATTCTTCCCTCTCAACTACGTCGACGTCCTCGTCCCGTTGCCACACTAATCTGACGCGAGATAAGGAGGAGACTGATGAAGAGGAGGAGGTCAGAGCAAGTCGAGAGGAAGGAAAGCGAATCCAAGGGACGGTCCGCAGAATATTTCATTTTCACCTTCAGCTCCAACGTCGCCATCGCAGACGAGCACTTTTTTTGTCATCTGGAGTCCTGGAGAGTCACAATTCAAAGCCCAGACCAGGATTAAAAACCTGTTCCACACAAAGGTGAACGGTTCTGAGACGGACACAAAATGTCACCACGCATTTCCTGGCAGTCAGAAACATTTCCTGAGGACTAACTGATGACGCATTTCTAAGAATTATTTGTCTTTTTACCACAAATTAGTGATATCATAACTGACTGTATAAAATCAGGTGATAATGACGAGGTGATGCATTCACAGCATCCTTTTTTTACGTGCCTGCAGTCTGTTTCAAAACTCAGGTTAGTAAACCAACCTATAGGCCGCTTTCAGACTGCCTCACAGTACATACCAGTTGTTTTCTGACTGAATGTTATCCTCATTTCAATAACGAAATGTCTTGATGCCACCTGCTGGTGAGATGAAGTATTACTTTTACCTAAACTAAAATGAAACCACACACAGCTAGATTTTGTGTTTATCTAGCAGAAACATTTCATTTGTTTATGAGAAACAAGAAGAAATTGCTCTCAGATTTGTGATTTGACAACTATCAGGATTGGGCCTATTTGTTAAGCCCTTTTTTAAAGATCAAAGTCAAAGCTATTTCCTGATAATAGCTTCAGAGGACAAGAGGCCTGAAAGAGTGGTGTCCTTATTTTATTTCAGTATTTTGTTTCTGTAGTATCAACTTACTACAATAGATTTCAAAGTAGACCTGCTTACTGAATATGTGAGAACATGTTGTAATTGCACCTTGGTCCTAAAATGAGATTGATATGTGTGTGACAGACTTACTCCAGCATTACACACCGACCCAAAGTTTAAATGCAGACGTTGCACCTTTTTGTCACTCGAGGCAGGCGTGTGTTCGTCGTCTAGAGATGCAGAATGATTATTTGTTTTCGTGGTTGTCTGCTAGTCTGTTCGATAGAAGAGACGGAGCCAAAAAGTCTTTATAAAATGCAATAGAAACATATCGCGCCCGTTTGCTAAAAAGTATTCTGTAACATAGCCATATATTCTTTTAGTTTTGGACCTGTTTGTCTCCGCATGTTCAGTCTTTTTTTCTTATATTGGTCTGTTGATCCGTTTTATGCGCCTGAATATCGATGACACTGCTGGTCAGTCTCTCTTATTCATCACTTAGTATCCCACTATTCCCTGTCTTTGTCTTTGATAATGTGAAACTCATCTGTACTTCGTTACTTACTCTGACCGTGTGATCCTGGTGATGGACAATGGCTCAAATTAGATGTATTTGTCAGTGCGTTGGGCTGATGTACAGAAGACGTTTCTGTTTAGTTAACCTATGTGGACAAGGCTGGTTTCTTGTTATGGATTTAACCACACCTGCAGAATCTAATCCCACACACACTGTACATTATGAGGGAACGACCTGGAGTGAAAGGGAAAACATCAAGGGAAAAATTATTGTCAATTTTGACTATATTTGGAGAACGTTTGTTACTAAACATGAATCAAAACGCGTATCGTTGGTCAAGCTGATAATGACCAAAAAAAGGTTTCAAATTGTGAATGACAAATGAGTGCTCCTCACCGTTTGTGTCCCTCCTTCTAATCTGTTTGTCCATCACTCCGCGCAGCCAAACACTTCCCCCACTCCTCGGTTTGGTCCTTGTCTAATATGTTTACATCTCTGTGCTTACTACATTTCAAAGCTTGTATCAAGTTCAGGGTAAAGTGTACGAGGTGCTGTCTGGGTCTCACTGTTATCACAAAGTCCTTGATAGCTTTGTTTTAGTGCCTTTTGGAAAAGAAAGGAGGGGAAAGTACCACAACTAATCCAGCAACCAAAACCTAACCTAGCTCCTAAAGAACAAGGACAAGATTTCTTTTTCTACTTTTTACTTCTAGCCGTTGGCACTTTCCTGTGTAAAGATGAAATGCATGTGTGCTCATTTCTGCACATTTGTAACACTACAGGCAGTTTCCTGGACACGTGTTGTTTGGACTAATGTGAGGTCTATCAGCAGACCACCAGCGGAAACTGCTTTTTTTTATTGTAGATTTGAATCCATGTTTGGATAAAATGTCCCTCTGATTCTTTTTTTTAAGGGCTATGCATTTGTTTAAACAGTCTTAAATGCTCTTTTGAACAGTGTTAAATCATTCTGGCTCTCTATAGTATTATTTTTTATATACAAGCCCTTAAAAAAAAAACATTTAAATTAATCTTTGCATGTAGTCCTGTATTACAGCTTGTAAATGTATGTCTTTAGATTTAAAGATGGGGTAGGTCATTTTGGAGAAACCAGCTTTTGAAAATACACAGCCGGAAGAAATCTGCCTCTTCCTTACAGAGCCCCTCCTCCAACACACACGAACAACGCGCACATGACCAATGAGGGCACGAGATAAGTTTGTGCACAGATGGAAGGCTGACAGGCAGGTAGGCCATCCAGTTATTTTAGCCGGCTACTCAGATGACATTTTTTTATGTATTTATTGTCAAAGCATTTAATATATTCATTGCTATCGGGATGTTAAGAGCATTCCATGGAATATAACAAAAAGTGTATCTCGAGCCGGTTTCTCAAACGTACCTACCCCACCTTTAAGTTGCCTTTTCCCTGTCGGTATGAGTACAGAATTTAACAGCAATATTGTCTTTTATTATCAAAGTATTTGTACGTGCTTCTTTCTTGTCCTGCCCCAACCCTTCTTACAATAAATAAAAAATAAAAATGTATTTATTGTTGCATATCAATCGGGAGGTTTTGACACCATTATGGCTGGCTGTGAATTAGTATTTTATACATATATTCACTAGGAGGTTTGAAATGATTTTCTGTTATTGGATGCTGGATTGGTCAAATGTTGATGCCCAAACTTTAATTAAAAAAACTAAAGAAAAAACTGAAGATTTCTCATATAACAGCTGGCATAGTTTAAAGAGGCCTGCAAAATACACTTGATGTCTTTTCTACATAAACATGTGTCCCCGGTGTGTCAGGGAACTCACGCAGCGTCAGAAAATAAAACCCTCTCTCTTTTCCTCCGTACCCAAATCTCTAAAAAAGGGGCTACAACGGAGCTGATCCAGATTTGCGTCCGATATGACGTAATCTCGGAAATGTAGGCTGGCTTTACACCCACGGCCCTATCAGAAACGTTGCTATCAGAAACAATGCCCGACTGTTTTGGACGTAATATGGTCGGTGCATGTTTACATTAGCATCGCTAACACTCAGAGCTAACCTGTACTGGAGAGCATGTGTGTGAAGAAGCAGGAACTCACCTTGTGGTATAACCGGCAAGAGAGAAAGCCTTTGCGCTCCATACTGTTTCAGAAATAATCCATGATATGGCGTTTCATCACCGCAGTATCTGCCGGTAGAATCTCCCGCATGAGCNCCCCCCCTTTTTATTTTTTATTTAAAGCATTATACCCCAAGTCAGCACTTTTGAAACAGGAAGTCAAATAGAGGGATATGAGGCATGGCTAGAATGGGTGATCTGTGGTATTTTGAGCAAAACACTTCATAGACATGTTTTTTATATATTTGTAATATATATCTGAGAACTATGCTATTGCCTACAAATAGCATGATAGGTGACCTTTAAGACTCTTGGTTTTTAAGAATACAGTAATTGAATAACAAGCAGTCGTGTTTAAATAGTTCCAGTGTGTATATTTTAATGCTTTGTGGATCATCAGCCGGCTTAAGGCAGTGCTCTGTCTTCATACATGTACATCACACAATCCACAGTTAGTAATAAATACAGTACAGGTAGAAGAGGAAGCAAATATCTGTCCTAACCCACAGGACTCATCTGTCACACAACCTGACAGGGAGACAATAGAGGGGCACACACACACACACACACACACACACACACACACACACACCTCATACATCATAAAAAAAACAATTTGCCTTGGCACAATGGAATTACTTGCACCACCATCCAATGTAACTCAAGGAATAAAACATTGACGTTGCTGAGTACAGTTCAGGTCCAACCAACACACACTTGCATTCTTTGCTAAGGTAGTATATTTGCACTGCTCATTTATACTTTTTCCCAATCACTGCTCCCTTGATTTAGTCTAAAGGCAATTACAACACATTAAACGTTTCCATATCTGCTCATACCACCGGATACTGGCACAGACAGGCACATAGGTCCATGTGGAAACAGGAAGTAGCCAGGCAGGCTGGTTTCTAGCCCACAAAATGCTAATATTTAGTATCCTTCTGTAAAATGTTCTCTGATCCGGTGCTGCTTAGGTTATCATGTACATTTCTCTTTACAGTAACTCTTCAAAATTAAGTATCACTCAAGCATGAGAGGATTCAAGGCATCTATATGTTTTTCAAGCAGGTTTTTACAGCCTGCAGTCCCGGCCGCTCTGCGCAAAAGTTATTTTCTGAAATGGATGGACTTGAGATGGCGAGCGGCCCTCAGTGAATGCTGCTCAGCTGACTGTAGACGTGCTCTAAGATCTGAGAATAGGCCTGGTCTTTGGGGGCGTGGCAACTCAGAGAGCCCTGAGGAAGGAGAGAGAACGATGAGATGCCACAAAGCACATTACTCAATTATTCTCCTTCATTACTATTTTGACATGCTTCTTTTAATAATGATGTGAGGCTGTCATTAATGAAAAAAAGAACAGCATGGTGATCAGGAAATTGTTCTATTTTTCATTAACGACAGCTCCCTGCACATTTTCCCGCTCAAAATTACACGGCTACCTAATAAATTAAACAACGACTTTATTCACAATATTGATTTAAATAGATTTGACATGTACTTGTCCGTGATAAAGTATAATACTTCAATACTGGGATAAGGGCAATTCTGCATAGTGAGTTATTTTACTTTTTAGTACATTTTGCTGATAATACCTCGTATACTAAGAACAATCTTAAATTCAGCACTTTTAATTGTAATGTATTATTTAAGTAAAGGATCGGAGGTTCTTCCACAAATGGATGAGACACAGTGCATGAAGCCCTGAAAGAGGACCAGGATCCTAAAGAAAAACGATCCATGTAAAATGTATTTGTGTGATTTCAGGTCTTCTATACCTTGATTTTGTCCATCATGGTGGTATCCGGACACCAGTACTGGTTAAAGTGGACGATGTCAGGAGCTGACCTGTAGTAATCAACCAGCAGCATCTATGGAGGAAACAAAAGCACCCTTTAAAGTGATTTGTAACAAAGCATCACACACATTTTTAATTGTTTTTCATAGGACTGAGGCTGTAGTCTGTGTACCATCTCATTCAGGACGTCACTGGTGAGGAAGTTGTCCTGAACGTAGGTCACCTCTACGGCCACCGGGATGCCGTAGTCATTGGGCCGTTGCTGCAGAAGGGCAGATTCAACATGAGTTTAGCAGAAACGTGAGCGAAAGTGTCTAAACTAACAGTAAAAGAAAAGTTCAACTGAATATCAAACATGAATAATGACTTAGGTGAGTGTTTCAGTGATGCATGTGTCCTCACCTCAGGTGGTGGGACCACCCAGAACGGGGTTATCGTGGATGCTACACCTTGATTGCCGTGATAATACGGTCCTGAAAGAGTAAAAAGTTTAAGGGTTTAAACATTTATTATGGTAATTATGATAATGCCATTTGTTTACTTCTGTACCATAGTGACGTCACTATGTAACACTTCTTTTGGTAGTGCTCCAAGGTTTACATTTTTACAACCTTAACATTGTACGTGATAGGAAAAGGGGCGGGACAACTCTACCCGTTTGACCAATCACAACAGAGCCGACCAGCTATTATCTAATTATTTTCAGGAGTGTTTCCAAATGTTAATCACTTATTACATCAGCTGGTAAACTGCTGTTATACACTCTAAGGACACTTTATTCCTCATTCAAGTGCAATGGTTGTATTTTGTATGTAGTGCAACTCTCAGGTCACTATTTCATACATATTTTGTCGATAGATCCTATACATCTCTGGATTTGTATATACGATTTAATACAATGAAGTTCACTGGCATGGGGTCAATAGAGTGTCTGTTCGACAGCTCCCTGCAGAAGAGGTATTCACATATGGAAAATCCCTAATCTATCACATCGACATATCGCCCCACAATGTTTATAAAGGCAGTACCGCAGATGATGCCCAGGCAGGGCTGGAAGCCGTTGTTGGACCCCTGCAGCCTCAGCTGGTGGTCCATCTGCGAGTCGATGTCCTGCAGCGAGGGCAGGGCCGGACCCCGGGGGTGACTGTGGTACCAGCCCACCAACGAGAGCCCGCGCATGAACAGGTTCTGACAGATCTGGAGAGGAGGCGTCCACACAACAGACACTGATCAGAAACAAGGCTTTAATGTGAGTAGAAGTAGTTTAGTATAGACTGAATCAGATCCCGAAAAAAGCTCAGCAATAATAAGATGGACAATTCTAATTATAAAAACGCTAAATTGTCGTTTGCAGCTACATTTAGTTTGGGCTCTTACAGTTATCCACTCTGTGAATACAGTGCACTAAATTGGGGAAGGGGAAGGACTCTATTTAGAGATGTATAACTCACTAAAGCTTTTATAAAGTATGATAGAAAAAAAAGAAGCAACATGTTTTCTGATTGGTTTAAATTCTTGAAATCTGGTATAGACATATCAGTTTTTTTTATGAAAGTGCTACTTCCTTTAACTACAACTTTTTTTATCGTGCACATGTGTGTGTGGAGTGTGAGCATGTGTGCCTGTCTGGTATGTTTTGTTTACCATTTCCTTTACATATCTCGTTTTTGTTGCTTAGTTTATATTCCATGAGTGTTAACAGAACCAAACATTACACTCTATTTAGGATCAAAAACAGAAACCTTTTATGGGTGGACAGAGCCAGCACCACGGTCAGTGTTAAGTAAATAATAGAGTCAGTTCATTAGTTCTTAGCTTTCAGAAAGGCTCGCTGCTGACCTGTCCTGCAGCACAGGGTGTTTTAGGTTATAAGAATGCTGATGGTGCAGAATACTGATGGACTGTCCATGCGTTACCTCCTCCTCTACAGCAGAAGCAGACTCTCTGTCTGCCAGCCGGGTCCGACAGGGGAAAGCTCTTAGGACTGTCAGCACTGAAATACACCGACCACAGAGAGAGAAAACGCTGGGGTTAGAGACAACTTCTTTAAGTATATTTCTTCCAATGACTTTTAAATCTTACTCACGTTGTGTATTTGTATCCCATCGTCCTCCGAGGTATCCCACCACCTCGCTGGTGGTCAGGTGACAGTGAAAGTCCTGAAGAGGATAGAAAGAAAAGTAAGTTGATATTTTTACAATCCTTTCAATAACCTTTAATTCATTTGAATATGTTTTATTCACACTGTATG